CTGTTTATCACACGTTTTATCTTTATCAAAACATTGCAGCTGCTGCAATTTGGATAATATTTGAAATAATTGTGCATTGACCGATCAATTAACTGACTTATTGTTTTGTTTCTGCACCTCATAGTTAAATTAAACTTAACAAAACAGGAGAGGAGTCATTCCTGCAACTACCATGCAGATTAAACCTAATGTTTCCACTTTTAACCCCTCTTCTAATGCAAAGATGTTGCTAGATGCCAGTTATTAACAAGCCAAACACATATATGCATTATTTTTAACAGCTCAACATTAAAGCTGAGGATCAGTGGAAACAGTGTGCACTGTGTTTCCTTAGTGAGAGACACTTACCAGCAGTAGAGCAGCCAATGTGTGACTGTCATTTTTAGCATGCCTGAGTGCATGAAGACACCTCTCCAACACCTCCGTTTGTGCATCAGTCAACCCTCCTCCACCTTCTCCTCCTCCCTGCTCCCCTTTCCCAGGAGGCTGACTGCTCACGACCGGTGTAACCTCGGCACTGTCAGCCATTGTGACCTTCAGTAACTATGTAACCAAGAGGGGGAACATTATTTATTTTTGTACATTGGGAATTGAAAATCAAAACTGACATTCATGGGTCATTAACGTTAGCCCCACGTCGCTGATCACAACGAGAGCAGCCTCATTTAACGACTGTCAGTTGGTGTGCCGAGTCAACCGTTAAGGAGCGGTTGGTAAGAATTCGACATTTTGAAAAAAATTTTGAATTAGCGAACGTTCGTAAAATAACTTACTTTGACAGCCCTCTCTCGCGCGCTGCAACAGCTCGTGAGCACTTTCCGGAAGGGAACTGTGACACACGACGCCGACAGAAACCAATCAGAAGCGTCCAACAATGTCGGGGAACCAATCGCAAGAGGGATACTTGGAAGGCGGACACGCCATTTTGGTCCGTGTTGAAACGTCGGAGAAGCGACGCAACGTTATTTTTGAGGTCATGGAAGACATATTTATTTTATTTTATTTTATTCACTAAATGTAGCTTAGCTAATTAGATTAGTGGCATATTTAACACAGAAAGTCCTACTGTTAGGTCCTAGGTATAGCTTTAATAATGATTTGATAAATGGCACACTGTTCATTATTTTACATTTGTTTATGTGTAGTATTGATGTGCTATTCAAGCTATGCTCCTCCATTTAGTATATATTCATCTTAAGTGTTGATGTGGCTGCTAGATACATCTAAGAGACACTGATAATAAAATTAATTTTATTACTATTGAGAAGCTTGTACATACATGAGGGCAGAAGACTGAAAATGTAAAAAATGTGTTGAAAATTGCAAATAAAAGGTACAAAATTCTGATTGCATATCCTATAAAAAAAGTATGGATTATAATAATGAACTAATAGTATCAAAATGTTCATGACTGTTTTCCAAAATGACACATTATCTTAATGCGTTTTTTGCGTAACCTAAATACTTTAAATGCAAACACGCACCGAGAACAGGTGTTTAACCAGCTCTGCTTTTTTGTGCGTCACAACTGTTTTCGTTTCCTTCCTGAATCATGACAAATGGCTTCAACTGGAAGAGGTTTACAAGAGTAGGAAGTTCAGTGTTTGCCTGCTTTCTATCTGTCCATCCCGGAGGTTATGATGGTAAAAAAAACGAAAAGTCGATACACTTGTTTTTCTTTGCTATTGCCTGAAATTGCAACATGTCTGCCTTTTATTTGCAGATAGTTTAAGTTGTACAATCTGTCTGCTCTTGAGGAGGAAATAAACTCATTGACTGAGTTTAAACTCACTGGGCCAAGCTAAACAAACCCATTTTTCCCAACTTAGGATAACTTGACTTAAACCCAGTGAAAAATAAGCAAGAATAGAGGCAACTTTAAGCTTTTCATCTTCATGTTCTGGTTTCTTCAAGCAAAGTATTACACGTTTGGATTTTTTTGAAACCGGACCCATGTTTTCTGTCTACACACAATTACTATCAAGGCATCACATCTGAAACTTCAGGTCTCCAGGCCCAGTATCTACCCACATCACCTTCCTGACACTGCCATTCACACGGGAACGTCTTGTGGTAATCCAATCCAAATGCCAAAGTCTTACACAGTACCTGCAATATCATCACTTTATTATTTATTAAGGATACAGAAGCCCTGCAAATGAACTTCACAAACAATCACTGGCATCAAAAAGATGCCCGCATTTGCATTTGTTAAAATAAACAGGGTTAGGTCTGCTTCGTGCTTTGCTCACCCACCCGGCGAGTCATCGTTATGCTGAGTGGCTGTATACGAATCATCGTTTTAAAAAAAGCTCGCAGGAGTTCACATTTACATTAAACGATGGAAATTTATTCTTGAGAGAGGCCTGTGATAAAGCCATAAAAAGGAATTCAATGAGGTTTTTCAGCAAAGACCAAAAGTGGGTCATAGGATTATGTGAAAGTATTTCACAAACAATTGTCTTCTTAATGCCCCAAATCTTGACTGGCCTGCAGGATTATATGAGGAAAAGAAGCACACATTATAAATATGGGTGGAAAATAAAAAAATACTTGGTCAAGAGGGAGTTTGGTATGAATCCAGTGGAGTCCTATTTCTTCAATGCAAAGTCAGGAGGAGGCTTATAAGAGCAAAGTTAAGTGTTTAGTAACACATCTTCCTGCCTTCTGAAAAGCCATTCAAAGCTGTTTGAATGGAGCTTTACCTTTCCGCACCCCCACTCTAATGCATTGCCAAGGCCAAAGGTTATTAGCTCATATGTCACACCTTGACAGCTTCACTCTCCTGTTTCAGCAATGAGATACCTGGGCCACGTCCCTGTGGTCATCCTCAAATATGTGCTCCCATCACCACCACACTGCTAAGTTGAAAGCAATCAACTTGTCAAGAGCTGAAGCTCATCACTGTGTCTGCATGCCAACAATTAACTGTTTAAAGTTGCCCGACTGTATGTGAAGAATTCCAAAGGGTTTGAATTCAACAAAGGAAACACGTGTTTAAATATTAATAGGAAAAGTGGTGGCTACAGGCTGTGTGCCAAATGTTTCATCTGTAATAGAAACACTGTATGTCAGAGTTATTCATCACTCCATTACACTGTAGTCATTATTTATAAGTCTTCCTGTCACAGAATTTAACTGTATGAATTATATGAGTCAATATTTCTGTGTTTAAAGATAAATTGTCAGTACAGTAAAGCTAAGTTTTAAGTCTGAAATGTAATTTCTTCTTTTTTGTTTGACACTTTTGGATTTTCATCAAGTTTTTGGATACCACAGAATTTCAGCATTTTCTGAAATAGACTTTAGATTTAATGCATTTAGATTCAGTAATACAGAATACATAATAATTTTTATTGGAAGTTTTGGGGTCTGCCATTTTGTTTTTGAATCTTGTCTGAAATAGCCATTCAATGCATTAAATACAGTAATTATTTCTTTACATAGTAGTTTTTATAGTGAATTGTTGTTTAAGCTGTATTTCTGATCTCTAAATTATTTTACATTACCAACTATGGGTGTTGCCAAATCAACCAGTGCTGAAATCTTAAGGATTACAACTTTAAAGAATTATTCTGGTTATTTGACTGTTTGGAAAACTTTGAACCTATTCCCCATCATTTATCTGGATCACTTTAAGTTTATTGGTGTAGCCCTGCTTGTGATCCTGGATTAGTGTCCCTGCGAGATGCTTTGTGACAAGAGAGCCCAGAGTGGGGATCTGCATGTACTGAGAGCCTCGCTTGAGTTGTTTTACAAGGTCAACAGTCCCACCTGAAATGGCAGATGACAGGGACAAGTAGTTCAAGGACTCTCGACGACGTCCGAGAATAAATGAAAAGCCTCGTCCCATATTCAGAACACCGTCAGGGATGAGCTGGGTCAATAATATTGAGGGGCAAACAGCGCCGTGCTGTTGGAGAAAGTGTTGGCCTTTTATGTTTTACAAAAAAATGAAAAGAATCATTGACTTGCGCCAAACCTTTTACGTTTCTCTCGCTCGTGTTATGACTTTGTTTGTCATCTGCTGGTCCTTGGATGCCCCTTGCACCTCAATATGTTATACTGAGAGCGAGCTATAAACATAAACACTGAGTGGAAGAATAGACATATGGAAAGCTGTGTTCTCACTACAAGACATGCTGGAAGTAGGAAGGGGAAAGGGTCAGTTTGAGGGTAAAGCAGAAGGTACAAACTAAGAAATGCACAGCCTATTTTAGTCATGAAATTGCCCCTCAAGAGCTTTGATTATAGGTAATATAAATACATTAAACTAAACAATAACTTATAGTATATGGTACTAAAACAGAAATACTACCTTCTGAGTTTAAAAGCAGTGGAATAATAGGCACGCTGAAACTGGAAGAATCTAATTCCTGCTCACATTTCTGAAGGGGAAGGATTGTTGTTCTAGCCACCCACCTTCTTTCCCCTTAAATCAGCCTCCTGTGCACCACTGTTTATCCTCTGGACAAAAGCAGTTACCTCACACCGACTTTTTCCTCGGCGGTCATATTTAGATTGCCGTGACAGCCTACCTGGGCTATCTGGGCCATGGTAAACTTTAGCGGGCCGCGTTTACTCCTCTGGCTCCAATAATCATCACAAGACGCTGTAGCCTCCTGCTACGGAGAAATTATTTATCCTTGCCTCAGCTGGGGTACACACAGGACATGCTCGCTCGGAGCCTCTCTTCCACCTTTTAGGCTTGACAAACAAAGCACATTTGGATTCTGCACTTTCACACATGCTTGTTTTCATCTTATTATACTGTTTGTTGCATGACAGCTAGATAATACTTGCAGTAACAAAATTATGATAAGCATTTGGAGCAGGTTTTTCAGGTAAGCGCATTCCCTGAGGCTAAGTTTGTATTCTGTTCAAACACAATCAGTGTGATTTGCCTCCCGTCCAGGACATAATGTTCCTTTGCCCTTGTTTTTATTGCTCAAATGAATATTTAAGCGAGCGGAAAGGCAATTACTGCGTGCTTTTCACCAATAATGAAACCCAAGTAGCAAGATTACTTATGTCAAATAAACACTTCTGCAACAAGGTCATATACTTTCAAGAGGGCAACAGTGTCATGACTGGATTAAATGTTTAATATGATTGTATCTGCCCTATGATGAGTTCACCGTCAGTGTTGGGCAACAACGTTACAGTACATTAATACTTTTCCCAATAACAAGTTGTTACAATTTGAAATTCAGTAACTTATAATAACGGGTGCTGGTGCAGAAAATAAGAGCATCTTTCTTATCTTTGAACAGTCCAAAAACAACCGGAATATACATGGATAATAAGGACACAAATCCAGTTGTGAGAGTGAGGCTGCATGCAGGCGCAGTTATGGAGAATTTACACATGGTCTATATGCTATCTGCTACTTTTCTCCTGTAAATCCTGTTTGTTTTGTTGACTATTTTTATGCACCCCAGAATTATATTCCACTTTGGTATTTTGGTGAAGGCTCTGAAACAGCATTGTGAGATATAATTACCAAATAACAGATGTTAGCAGTTTATTAAACATTAATAAACACAACTATTTTGCAGCCTTTTTGTCTGGTACTTGGGGTTGCAGGCTACTTGGGAATTGGGACTCATGACCTCAATAAAATCCTGTTTATAGCCCTGACTTTAAAGTTGTCTCGTTGTGTGTTGCAGTTTAAGGAGGGTGTGTGAACTCTGCGGCTTCACGGTGAGGACAGCCTAAGCCAGCTGTTGATGGTCACTAAATACCTTCAAAAACACAGGATGGCTGCTCGTTTACACATGTTAAACCCAAAATATGTGCATAGCAGCCTCGTAGTTCTCCGAAGGAACCTTTTGACAGAAGTAGTGCAATAGTTACTTCTGCTATAGAGTAATTTTTAAAGTATTGGTACTCTGTAACAAGTTATTTTCTAGTA